CAGGGAAGGACTTGTTGGACATCCGAACAAGCGCAACTGGTGAAAACCCATTTCAAAAATAATATTACATTAAAAAAGGCCCTTAAAAAGGATGAATGTCTAAATTTAATCAAAAACCATCCAGATATTCTTGGAAACAAAGATTGGGTTAGAGTAAAAACATTTGTTTACAATATTTACAGAAATAAATAAATAATTTATTAGTTTATATCAATACTGTGCTTTTATAAGAATTTTTGAATTTCGTTGCATTTTAATTATTATTGTTTTAATTCTTTTTAAATGATGTGCCTCTAAAGATGCAGAGGGTTTGATATACAAATTCGGTCAGATGTGATAAATGTTACCTATTAAGGGGAACAATATCCCTCAAACAGAAACCTTTTTATGTTGTTAAGGAACAATTAAATTTTTTATTTTCGTTTTTCAGCTTTTGCGATTTTATTTATTGACATACCGAAAAATGTTTTAAATACTATTTTTCGTTTCGCCATCGATTATTTCAAATACGATCCTCAAATATTCTATTTTGTATATAGAAATGTAACCAATAAAGCACTTTACCTGTGTTTTAAAAAATTACATAATCAGTACATAAAAAACTAATTATTGACCTGAAATTACTAATTACTTAAATTTCAACTTTTAATTAATTAAAATCATTATTACCAGCCCAATGCTATGGACTCCCGATATACATTATTCTTAAAACCTTAGAAAATCTTGATTTCAAATAGAGAAAATTTTGTGTAATCGATTTGAATAGCTAGTTTTAAAGTATAAAAAAGTACCATTTTTCGGCAAGTCAATAAATAAAACCAGAATTTTAGTTTTTAATAAATAATTTGAAAACGTGACTGGCTATGTCAGATCTTTTCACGCCATAAAATTTTCCCCCTCCATTTACCGGTTACTATAAAACCTATTATACCGTTCCAACTCAAGCGAAAATAGTAATATTAGGGTATTACCCAATATTTCCAAGCTCTGTTTCTTAGGTGGGACCAATCCATTAAATTTGTATGTACTTTTTTAATTTGAGCTTTTAATGTTTGTACCTTTTTTAAATAAATATGTTTTGTAAACAAGTATTTTATTTTTATTGATATTCCGTCATTATTTATTAGGCCCTCTTAAAAATTTAATAATTTTCGAGAGGATTTATAACTATTTCAATTATTGTTCAAAGTGTAATTTTTAGTTTTTTTGTTTCAATTTTTTTAAACTATTACAGCATCTACATTTTTAAAAAGTAAAAAGAAGAATGATTCTAAATATATAAAAATCTACAGGGTCTTCCATTTGAAAATACTAGGTCTACGACATTTTCGGTTTAACAAAAAGTGAGCAAAAAAAAGACATACTTAATAATATTTGGCTATTTGAGTTCTCCTTAAAAGCTCTTAATTTGAGCGGTTCAAAAAAACTGTATTAACAAAATTTTCATTTTGGAAATCCAAAATTGTATTTTTATTGTACACCCTGTACAAAAACTCAGTTTCTTAACGTATATCATATTTATTTAACAAGCAAAAGAAATGATGAAAAATCACTTTTTTTTATTTTAAATAAACATTTTTATAAGTATAGTTAAGTCCATCCGTGGACACACTGTATGCAATAATTATATATGATGTCGCGAAAGGTCTAAAAATAAAAATTGCCGGTAGGAATAATAGTAAATGAAATATTAGGTATATAAAAGTGCATCGCACCAACACACCTCCTATGAAATATTATGTATATAAAAGTGCACCTCACCAACACACCTCCGTTCATTGTTGCCAAATTTAGGAGGTACATTGGCGTGAAGACTACTTAAAGGCTAATTCGTATTGCCCAAGTATGTGCCTATATATGTGTATTAGAGGGTGGCGCCGCGTAGTGGAAAATCGGCCAAGTTCATTGTGTAACTGTATATGTGTATGTCACGAAATGGCCTCCGACAAAAAATTTGGCAAACACCTCCCATTGTTGTAAAAACATAAATGAACCTGTTATACACATACATTCGATTTGGCCTCCGATTTTTCGAAGTCGCCTCCGATTTTTGAGGCGTATTCTTTGAAAACATATATATTTTGGAGGTGTATAAAGCATTTTGCATATATATATATATATATATATATATATATATATATATATATATATATATATATATATATTTGCCTCTTAGTGGTTTGGCTGGAACTCAAACTATTGGGCTTATAGTAGTTACGTAGTGGGACTTCAACCCTACAGTCTGTAAAGCGCGTATGATCATACCAGCTAGTGTACGGCTCTACTATCTGTTTTATTTTTCTTTCCATGTTAGCTTTACATATGTATCCTATTTTAAGATTATAATACAGGAGCTTCTTGTTAACAAACGTTTATGCACTATATCTTGTTAATAACTGATTGGCCTGTCATTATAAACATTACGATTCAATTGTTGTTCACTTTTCCGCGTTTTGTCTACTAGTGAATCATATAATTTGTGAACTGCCTTCAGCACTTTGACCAAAATTCGGTGGCTCTCATATACCTGGACTTGACTTTATAGCTGACCTTGAAAAACAATATTTTAAGGAAACTCACCCCTGATTCTTCTCTGAGCTAGAATACTATTTTGAAGCCTACATTATTCTGGGTCTAACAACGGCTTTGGCCTTTTAATTCAAAATAAAAAGTAATTATAAGCGCACCTTGGCACTTTTATCGCTAGCCCTCCACCGTTAAAATACTAGGGTAGCGAAGGCACGGGGTGGATGTAATAACTGGCGCCCAACCTTGTTTTAAATGCAAAAATATCTAGCAATCAACTTATAGATATTGTACTTATATATTTTATATTGTTTTTCTTGGTCTAATTTTTTTTATCTCGATTTTGACTTTTTAATAGTGAGAATATTTAATAGCATATTATTGTTATCATTTTGTTTTATATTTTTTTTTCTTCTTCTTTGATTTAACTTGGTTTTACCGCGTTTGATTTGGTTGGTAATATTGCTTCACAATGTTTCAAATACAAGTGAATAATTTGGTAAAAGATGAACTAGAGTATGAGTTAAAAGTTAGAGGTATTTCGGAACAAGGCACTGTCGAATCCTTACGCAAACATTTGCGAAGTATTTTAGCATTAGAAAACTGTAGTAGGCAAATGTAGTCTAGATGCTGCATCAGAAATTGCAGAGTGTGAGAAAAAGTTAAGTGAACTACGCGATTACGTTAATTCTTTTGGCGGTTCTTCAAACCAATCTAAACGAATTGAAACTAAATTTGCTCATTTATTGGGTAGAATAGGCAGAATTCCAGAAATTAATGACGATATTTCCGAAAATAGATCAAAACTATTGATTTCATTATCAGAACTTGTCCCTGAATATCAGAATAAGGTAAAACTGTTTGATAAGAAAGATGAAAGCATCTGTCCGTTGGATCCTAACTTTGGAAATCCTTCTCAAATAAATTCACCAAATGGTACCGCAGAAAATCTTAATGTTAACTTTAATAGTTCTACAGTAGCTGGTTCGAATCCCATAAGTATGCAGACTGGATCTTCTTTCTTTAAGCCAGTTCCTATTTATAAGTGGGATCTGAAATTTTCTGGTAATTCCGGTTTGAGTTTTAATGCATTTCTTCAAAGAGTAGAAGAATTAAGTAGGTCTAGACAAGTCAGTAAAGTTGAACTATTTTTGTCCGCTCATGATTTATTTGAAGGTGCTCTTAATTTTTATCACATGGTGGTTAAGTATGCAAGTGATTGGGATGGCCTTATTACTCTTATGAAAGAACAATTTATACCTACACATGTTAGTGATCAATTGTGGAAACAAATCTTAAATAGAACGCAGGGTCCTGATGAACCAATAGGGTTATATGTTGCAGCTATGAGTAAACTTTTCGACAGGATGCCTACTGCAGTTTCAGACAGTTTAAGATTAAAGGTTTTGAAATCCAATATTCTACCATTTTATCAAGAGCGCCTTACGCTTCAAACTATAAATACGCCTTTCGATTTAATTGAACTTTGCAGGAAATTAGAGGAAACAAAAATTAATATTGAACAGTATAGTCCTCCTAGACCTGGGAATTTATCGCTGGAACCTGATTTAGATTATAGAGTTACTACTAGAAATAAACCTCTGGTTGTTAGAGAAATTTCTGTTGCGTCAGGTAATAGTAGTAATACTAGAATGCCTCAAAGGAACCTTATAAACTTTCAGCATAGGAATAATTCACCGCAACTTTGTTTCAAATGTGACCAACCTAATCATATGGCTAAACATTGTACTTCTGGTATAATTAGATGCTTTTCTTGCAAGAAAATCGGGGTTACAAAAAAAACTTGTCCTGATTGTTTGAATTCTTCGGGAAACTTCAGGAGAAGTCAGCCTTAGGTCGGAGATTGCCTTCTCATGCCAAATCAACCATAATATCACCCATAGTTGGACATAGTTTCGAAAAGGAAAAAATAGTTTTAGATTATGTTCTATCTCATACAGGTCCTGGTGAATGTCCTTATCTTAAAGTATGTATTTTAGGTCAAAATTTGTATGGTTTGTTAGACTCGGGTGCTAATAACATTTTTCTTGGCTATATTGGTTGGCAAAAACTTAAAAATTTAGGATTATGTTTAGATGAAAATAGGAAAACATTGTGCACTGTGGCATCGGATGACACATGTGAATGTATTGGTGTAATTTCAGCTCCTATTCAAATTAGGGATATTATAAAATTGTTTGACATTTATGTTGTTCCTAAACTGCGACATGAAATTATTTTGGGTATAAATTTTTGGCGAACAATGGGGATAGTTCCTGATATGCGCCGTGGAGAATGGTTCTTTTCATCAGAAATACTAACTGAACCACATATCAACTTTATTCAAAGTGAAGAAGATTTAACCTCTGAACAAAAACAGCTTCTAAATAAAGTTATTTCTGAATATTTTGACAAGATTGGTGATAAGCTTGGATGTACTTCAACAGTGAAACATAAGATAGTTACTACTAGCGCTCCCATAAAACAGCGATACTACCCTGTTTCCCCTTTTAAACAAAAACTTATTGATGAACAACTGGATCAAATGTTAAAAGACGGTATTGTCGAAACTTCTAAATCAGCTTGGTCCTCACCTGTGTTGCTCGTACCTAAATCTAATGGCGAACAACGCTTTTGTGTCGATTTTAGAAAAGTCAATTCCGTTTCTGAGCGCGATGCCTACCCTCTGCCATATATATCAAATATTTTAGATAAGCTGGGTGGTGCTCGTTTTATGTCGTCCCTAGATTTGAAAAGTGCCTATTGGCAAGTAGCATTGGAAGAAAATAGTAAACAATATACAGCTTTTACGGTTCCAGGTCGTGGATTATTTCAATTTACGCGCCTTCCTTTTGGTCTACATAATGCAGCAGCTACATTCCAGCGCCTAATCGATACGATTTTGGGTCCAGAGTTAGATAAGTATGTCTTTTGTTATTTAGATGACATTATTGTAGTAACTCCTGACTTTGACTCTCATATTAACATCCTGAGAGAAGTTTTAAATCGTTTGAATTGCCATGGTTTGACCTTAAATCGAGATAAAAGTAAATTTTGTCGTAACGAATTGAAATATCTTGGGTATCTAATAAATAGGCAGGGTATCTCCGTAGACCCAGGGAAAGTAGAGGCAATCTCTAATTTAGTAGTTCCTAAGAATGTACGAGACATTAGAAGAATTATTGGTATGGTTTCATACTATAGGCGATTTATTCCATCATTTTCAAACATCATAGCTCCTCTTACTCGGCTTCTTCGTAAAGGTATAAAATTTGTTTGGGATGATGACTGTAATAAGGCTTTTGATAATATTAAAAATGCCCTTGTTTCAGCTCCTATTTTGGACTGTCCAAATTTTAATCATGGTTTCACCTTGCAGACTGATGCTTCGTCTTTTGGAATCGGTGCAGTACTAACCCAATTTTATGATAACCGAGAGCATGTTATTTGTTATGTGTCTCGAACTTTGAGCCGCACGGAACGTGTGTACAGTGCCACAGAACGAGAACTTGTGCTAATTTGGAGTGCCGAAAAACTACGTTGTTATTTAGAAAATTCGAAATTCGTGGTTATAACGGACCATTTTAGTCTTAAATGGTTGCATAATCTTAAAAACCCCCAGGGTCGTCTAGGTCGTTGGTGTTTAAGGCTTCAACAATTTGATTTTGAAGTAACACATCGAAAAGGTAAGGAACATGTGGTTCCTGATACTCTTTCGCGCGCTGTTGTCGATGATCCTGATTTAGTTGATAGTGATCTTGAAATATTAGAGATTGAAATTAATGAAATAAAGGACAAGTGGTATCTTAACATGCTGGAAAGGATTAATCGAAATCCTCTTTTATTTCCGTCTTGGCGGATGTCAGATAATAAATTATATAAAAAAGTTTATCTTGATTTTCGCGAGCTTCGAACTGATGATGATTTCTGGAAACTTGTGGTTCCAAAGCAAAAACGAAAGGAAGTTATCTCATCTTGCCATGATACAACTGTTGGTGGTCACCTTGGTGTTTATAAAACTTTCCATAAAGTAGCTAGACTCTATTATTGGCCTTGTATGAAAGCTGATGTTGCAAAATTTGTAAAATGTTGTGTAACTTGTCAACAAGTTAAACCAGAACAAAAAGCACCTGGTGGTCTCATGGGTAACGCTATAGTTGCTAGTCGCTGTTGGCAAATTATAAGTATGGATCTTTTTGGCCCATTGCCAAAAAGTAAAGCCTGTAACATGCACATTTTTGTAGTAACTGACACATTTAGTAAATTCAACTTATTCTTTCCCATTCGAAAGGCCAACTCCCAAACCATTATAAAACTGTTAGAAGAAAGAATATTTTTATCCTTTGGTGTACCTGAGTTAATCAGATGTGATAATGGATCCCAGTTTAAGAGTATGGATTTTTCCAACCTCAAATCAAAATATGGCCTAAGAATCTTGTTCAATCCAATTTATCATCCTTCTCCCAATTTGACAGAGAGAGTCAATAGAGTAATGAAGACCATGTTGTCATCTTTTATTACAGATAATCAGCGGGATTGGGACCTAAACCTTCCTGCGCTGGCATGTGCAATTAACACAGCAAAACATGTTGTGACTGGTCAAACCCCATACTTCATAAATTTTGGCACCGAGATGAAACTTCATGGTTCAGAATATTCTTGTAAATTTCCGGATTCATTTATTATTCCTGTTGATGCAGATAAAAAAAATACTGGCCTTAGTTAAGCTGAGAGAATCAGTTGTTAAGAAAATGGAAATGGCTCATGATCAATCTAAGAAACAATATGATTTAAGGCGTCGCGATGTAGATTTCTCTGCTGGTGATTTGGTTTGGAAAAAGAAATTTACCCAGTCTGATGCTGGTAATTATTATACAGCAAAACTGGGTGGTAAATTTGAAGGTCCTTTCAAAATTGCCAAGAAGTGTGGTTATTGTGTGTATGAGCTTGAGGATTTACAGGGCAAATCAAAAGGTCGTTGGCATACACAGGATTTAAAACCCTATCACCAAGACGACTTTGAGTGAATTTACTGTGTAAATTCTTTGGGGAGGGGGTAGTGTTATGGTCTGGAATTCACATATATTAATCACTTTATTTTATAAAGGTTGATATAATTAGGTCTCGTTTTGTGTGATATATATTAGATTTAGATATATTAACTTCATTCCTATTGCTCCATTTCGTTTTTCATTTTTACGGCGAACTGTGTCCTTGCTATCAAAACGATAGTGTGTTGTTCACACGCAGTGTGCTTAATATAAGTTTGATATTTCAAAATTTTGAATTGTCAAATTTGATTGACAATAATTTTCAAGCGATCGTAATTTAGTAAAATTAGAGGAACGTGTTTTCGAAGACGATTTTCAAAGTGAATAGCTGTGTGTTGGTGCGAGTTTGATTTGGATTTGTTAGTTACACCGTTGTAAACGGGATTTGATTTGCACAACTATTTTGGAATTTCGACTGATAGCTAGTCTTATATTTGGCAGTCGTTATTTTTGCCGCAAGGGATTTAATTATACTGCTATTCCTGGTTCAGTTACCACCGAACAAATTTCTTCAAGAGACCACGCATCCTCCATTTTGTAAACCCTCTTCGAACTGAGGTAAGTTAATTGATAATCTCTGGTAACTATGTTTGATTGTTATATCGGCTTTTCTTATTTCTTCTAGGGTTTTTATTTTCCCTTTTGCTTCTAATTTTGGATTTTATGGTTTTCGTTTCATATTCGGCGCAGTTTCAATTTTGGTGTTCCTGATTTACCGGCTGTGATCGTGGAATATTTATCAATTGGGTGATAGATTGTAGCTACACCCTGAACATTGGACTGAAGTGGCTGGAACCCGGACCCGTAGCTAAGTACCGAATAAGGATATCATTTTCAATTTGTTTTATTATCACTATTAATTTTACTTTTAATTAGTAGCACTATCAACATTAACGTTATTAATATTCTCGCTATTAGTTTTTTTATAATAAATATTAGTGCTATCAATATCTTCGGTATTAATATTATCACTAATAATTTTATTATTAATTTTCCTTGTGCCCTTGATATTAGCACTACTAATAATACCATTATTAATAATATCACGGTTGGTATATTATCGATATTATTTTGTTACTATTACCATTTTGAGTTATTGTATATATATATTTTTGCCTCTTAGTGAACACACTTGTCACTAATTTGTTCCGTGGTTTGGCTGGAACTCAAACTATTGGGCTTATAGTAGTTACGTAGTGGGACTTCAACCCTACAGTCGCTTTAGCGCGTATGATCATACCAGCTAGTGTACGGCTCTACTATCTGTTTTATTTTTCTTTCCATGTTAGCTTTACATATGTATCCTATTTTAAGATTATAATACAGGAGCTTCTTGTTAACAAACGTTTATGCACTATATCTTGTTAATAACTGATTGGCCTGTCATTATAAACATTACGATTCAATTGTTGTTTACTTTTCCGCGTTTTGTCTACTAGTGAATCATATAATTTGTGAACTGCCTTCAGCACTTTGACCAAAATTCGGTGGCGCTCATATACCTGGACTTGACTTTATAGCTGACCTTGAAAAACAATATTTTAAGGAAACTCACCCCTGATTCTTCTCTGAGCTAGAATACTATTTTGAAGCCTACATTATTCTGGGTCTAACAACGGCTTTGGCCTTTTAATTCAAAATAAAAAGTAATTATAAGCGCACCTTGGCACTTTTATCGCTAGCCCTCCACCGTTAAAATACTAGGGTAGCGAAGGCACGGGGTGGATGTAATATTTACCTCGGCGTGATTTTCAAAGAAACCCTATGGACCGTGCGCAAACCGTATTAGATTTCGAGAAGGAAGCGAGCGGTGGTTGTTTAAGTTCTGTTACGAGGGGTTATGGAGAAGTTGTTAAAAATAATTTTAAAATTAATTTCACGTAACAGTAGCAGGAAGCGTAAAAATAGTTGAAAGAATTCAAATTCAGAAAGAATACAAGCAAAGCACACAAAAAACTGAAGTAACATTTACTACACATGAATATTATCGGATTCAAAACCAAGTAAATGCACGTCAAACTTGATTAAAAAAGGGAAAACAGCTCGAACCTAATTGGAGATCGAACTTAGACACGATATACCGGAAAATAAGAAGAAAAGTCTTACCTTATGTCCGAGGCATTTGGAAAAGAGTGGGGGAAACGTCCTGACTTAAAATGTTATAAGAACCTACTAGTACCTTAAGAGGAAGCTAACGAGGATGAAACTAACATTGAAAGTAGTGAACATTGTGACTGCCATTATGAGGAGCCTGTCGTTTTAATATGAACAAATTTTTATACGATATTTTTTTTTACTATATGTGATTTAGTTTATGAATATGTTTTTTAGTTTTTTTAATATTGTTTAGAAATAAATGTTTTTTTCTGCATTTTTTGTTTTTTGAAGCAAAACCGGCAATGTGTAAAGTATTTTTTTAAATTTCAGCCTTAATATTAAGTTTGTGCAAATGAAGTTATGTCAAATCAATGAAGAACATTAAAGACCACACGATACAACTTGAATTTTTTTTTTCAACCATGAAGGCCAGGAAGTGAGGAGCTTTTGTCATTTTCCAACAGTTTACCAAAACGGACATAGCCAGTTTTGCACGCAAGCTCCGCAAATGTGGTTCTAATACCAACATATATTTTGTTTTATAAAATAAGGTTACAAAAACTTGAACATCTGGAAAAAGTTGACAACAAACGTTTCGGAAGAAACAAATTTTAAGAAAGTTAAACGAATTGGGTTCTGGTATTTAAATATTGGGGTGAGGTATTTCTTTGGGAACATAACAAATATCTTCTTCAGACTAATTCTGAGAACATTTCATTGTTGGTTAATTCAATATTTTGAATTCGACCCCTTTTGAAGCAGACTACGTTGCAT